TGTGGTCGTACTTCTCTCTCCCTATTACAGGGGCGACCCAGAGAAGAGCCTTCCTCTGGTGCGCTTCGACCGCGTCTTGAAGGAGACAGAGCGTCGCCTCGGCATGCTCCGCGGGAGCGTGGAGAGTCCGACGCTGAGCTCCAAGATCAAGAAGCTGCAGTCGGCCGCAAAGGAGCAGCAGAGCCGACTGTCTGTGATCGAACAAGACATACAGGAGATCAGTGAGGAGAGAGACAGTCTCAGGGATATTACTTTAAACTTGCCTCAGTCTTGCCCCCTGGCTGCTGAAACAGGCAAGGGGTAAATGTGGTAGATGGTGAAGATTTCGTCATTAACAAGACAGGCGAGAAAAAAGTCAGGGAGGATGTTAATCAAAGTGTCCGCGGTCAATTTTTTATTCATACCCGTCAGGTCTCTGCTATTCTACTCAATACTTTTTTTTTTTCACCCTCAGATGCAATTTAGCAAAAACACACTCTTCTCCAACAGCGGTAGACTTTTTCCAAAGATTTATTTTTTCATCCTCTCTGTTCACAAACAACGTTCAAACTTTAATTTCACCACCAATAATAGGCAGCCGTGCCTGCTGATGATGGAGTGCACCGTCAGCTTTGAAATAATGACGAGGATTTGTCCCTTCTTCTTTTGTGCGGGTTGAAGGTGTGTCTGAGCGCTCCTTCACACTGACACATCCATTTACACTGGTGCTCCTTTTCATCAGCCTGGCAAATTAACAATGACTCCTGGTGGTCACAGTCGGGTTCAGACCTGACATCAGCAGGGTTCAGGATCCTGTCTTATCTCCGCAGCCTTACCTGTCTGTGTGTGTGTCTGGTGTGTGTGTGTGTGTTTGCACTTTCTCTTTATTTCTCTCTGTCGAACGCCCAAACCTCTCGTCAAGATTCAAAAGTCACAATTACAACATTTTGGTTTCAATTAAAGCTTAATAAAAAAAAATCAACATACATTTCAACAAGTCATTTATGAGTTTATTTCAGTGTTTTGAGAGGACCGTTTTCCATTTTATACATTTTTCAACCAGCCGCTGAGTGTATCACGCTGATAAAAATGTTTCAAACTATAAATGGGTTTAATAAACGCTCATAAAACCCAAACAATAAAACTTGGAATCCTTTTTAAATCGTGCCTGTTGTGAGTTCATTTCCAAATGAAAATGTCGACTCCACCAGAAACTAAAACCTGATTCAGTTCAGTACAAACACGATTTGACCTTTTCTTTGTTCGGTGTTGAAGAGTAAATTCAACAAAAGTTAAAGTTCAATTCTTGGAGGAGAAGAATCAAACTGAGCCCATACTGACACAATGATTTCTTTTATGTCAGTTATCTGTACTTCCTGGATTTGTCATCTTACTCATGCGCAGAGAATCCCTGACTTTCGATGTTTACGCTGCTGTGATACGACTACAGAGCCTCTGGTTGCGGAGCGATCGTGTCTTGTTCACACGCCACACAGCGCAAGAAAATGTAGCATTTTATTTGAGCCGCTGAATATAAAATCAAAACCTGGTCCCTGTAGTTCATATGCCAGACCTGTATGTGGCGCTGTTTCACCCCTGCTCAAGTTCAGAAGAGTGACAATAATGGCTTATGCTATTCTGCCATGGTGAAACTATTAGCTTTAGCACACCAAGGAACCAATGGCGAGAACACGTAGCATGTGAACGGTATATAAAAAGTATATGAAGGCCGTTATGTCCACTCGTATTTTTTCACGTTTGGCGTCAGAATCTTGATGACCACAAAAGACAAAATTACAACTGCATTTATCTCACTGTGGCATAAATGTTGAAATTAAATTATTTGCTGTGACCTCCCAGCATTAGCCCTAATCGGAGTCTCCGCCCCTTGCTTTGAGAACCACTAGTGAAAGTGAGTTTGGCTTTTTTTTACAAAAATGACTCTCCGTATTTAACCCTTCCCTAAAACACCCAGATAATTAACACCACAGTTCTGCCAGGGCTGGGATTTGAACCAGCACCTTCACAATCACAATCCCCATCTTTTAGCCTAGCTTTTTCCTGTATTTGGTTGAGTTTTTATTTGTCTTCAAACCTGTCGGCCAGCTTCAGTGTCTCTTCTGAAGATGGTGAAATCCTTCACCGGTGTTGTGGCAGTTGTTGTATCACATCTAATCACAGATCCTCACAGTTCAGCTTCAGGACTGTTCTACCGCTGTCAGCTCTCTACTGTTAGCTGTTACTTCAAAATACTCACTAATACTTCTCACTGCAGCACTTGACATTTAGAAACGTTTTTATGACTTTGTGAACTACTCGACGATATTTGTTTTGGTTTGTGTTTGCCCTCATTTTTCTGTGCCTGACGAAACAACAAGAGTTCTTATGAGAAGAGCTTATCTAAAAATAAACTATGGTTTTACTTCAATTCAGTTAGAAGTTTGACTATGTTTATAAAGATCATGATTTGTGACAGAGTCTGATGAACAGATCTGTTTTTAAGAGCCTTATTTTAAAGTATTTAGGTGTAATATTCACTTGGAGAATGCAGTGGTTTCTGCGTCCAATAAGCTTCCAGAAAATTGATGGACAGTTTTGTGTCCAGCTCTACATCCATGCTGTGTCCATGAAACTGAACTTTTATTTTTGGCCTTTTTTACTTCCTTTTTCATTCCCCAGCCGTCTGCTGACCATGACGGTGTTGTCTCTAACGATGTATCTCAACTACGATGCTAATTCGACGTCCACAGGTACCGCTGAATGAATTGTTCTCACCTGCCTGACTGTTATCGATATTCTCGTGTAACCTGACGAGAAAGCAAACGAGCCGTTTCTCTGAAATGTCAGACTGTTTCCTCAACCACACACCGCAGTTAAATCACTGCTGAGTCAATATGACATTTCTGTTCGGCGCAGGGTTTTTTTTTTCTCCAAGGAAAGAGTATTTGCACAAATATTAGCTGCTTTGAACCCAACAAAACGGTTTGCACACACTTCACCTGAAGTCAAAGTCAGGGTTTAGAGTCTTCTAATGAAATGTTCACATGGTGGAATTAATTTTTTATCTGTTTTGGACCAATACCAGCCACTAAATGTTGTACAAGGTCAAAGACATTCTTCTATTGACCCTTCCGGCAAGGGAGTCAGTGAATTTTCAATTTTAGTGAAGTGCTAAAAAAGAAAGGAAAAACACCGATGAGGACCTATAATCTGAGCTGAGTGCTCCTGGAAATCCGTCATGCGAAGAAAAGTGAGTTTTTAGGTGAAGTCATTTTCACTGAGTTGAGTTTCATTACCATATGAAAATAAAATCAGAGCCGTGGCTGCTCGGAGAGCACGGGGATAATCACGCAGGAACAGCTCAGAGATGTGTGGAGTGGTTCACACTTTTTATTGGAGTGAATATTGCAGTATTATCACAGACAGACTGCGAATAAAAAATACCCAGACTTTGATATAATTGCATCTAAAATTCGGTATCGGGGAGCGAGAAAGGAAACCTCAGCTGGTAAATTGATTTTATTTCCTATAACTGTGTGTCCGGTGGCTGCAGCAGAAAAGATTCACAACAGACGTAATAACGGAATTATCGTCCGCTTTCATCCTCCATTAAAAGCCGCGGGGAGGCGTCTCGTTATAACTTTATCTGTGTGGCGTGACGACCCGCGGTGGGCATTTCACACTTACCGTGGACGCAGCAACTGCTCGGATTCAGTTGATCTTTAATCACAGCATCGTCAAACAGTCACACTAAAACGTGACCGGGTCTCATAAACACTTCCGATGTCATTTTTGATCATTAAATGTGAGTACGTTTACTCCGTTCACGGCTGTAGCGAGAGAACCAAGAAAAAACTTCCTCACACTTAAATCAGTTGACACTCACTCGAACCTCAGACGGTTCAGAGTAAACAACAGAAAGGAACCTCAGAGACAAATGTTTGTCACAGAAACTCGCACAGATTTCTCTGGAGATCCTAGAAGTTTGAGAAGAAAGCGAAACGCACCGGAGGAACTGTTGTGACTACGTTGTCTCTTTTTCTTTCTTTCATTCTTAAATATTCCCTTTCAGGTTCACCCTGCGCATTTGAAGGCTTTAAATCTCACCTTCCTCCCAATGAGCTGCTGTCACCGTGGAAAGGTGACGAAATGTGTTACTTACCTAAGGGGAAGAGTTAAAAGAAAATCTGGAATACCAGATGTCGGGAAGTGTCGTTCCAACAGAGTCATATTCTCACTGTTTGAGACGTCAGTAGAAGAGACTGACCACAGCAAGTTAGTGAGGTTAAATAAAGTAAGACTTTGTCCAAATCAGGCGCTAACAGCGGAATTATTTGTGGAATTATTCAGATCAAAAATTTCCGATGTGCATCCATTTGTTGTGGTTCTAGTTCACGGTCTACACATGCTGGTATTTAATCACTTTGTGCGGAAGTTTTATTAGCATCCGTTTATTTAGACATCTTAATTGTGTACATAAACAACGCTTAAAAACACACCCTAAACCGTCATTACTTTTTTATCTCACGCCCCCCAGTGGCAGCTCGTGCACCTCCAAGGGTGCATGCACCAGACTTTTTGAATCCTCTGAGATTTACATTGCTTCAGGGATTGAATTATTTTGTTTAATTATTTTTAACAAATATTACTTCATACAAAAAGTAACACCACCACCTTGACCTCCGACCTTACTTTTCTTGTTGTAACCCACAGGATGTGGAGCTTTAGCTTCAAGATTTCCTGCCAGTTGACGTGAACCCAGAGCCCAGTGTGACTGGGCGACAACCAGCTTCACATTCCACTCTAATTATCAGGTTGTGTCTGATGTCGCTGGTGAATTAATTCTTTTCTCTGTAAAGGTGAAGTACGTTGCTACATTAACACGGCCGTCTGAAGCTCACAGACAGCAGCAGAGAAACCAGCCGAGGGCTGACATGGTCGGAGCACCAATCCCTGAGATCAGAGATAGTCAGTGACACAGCCGTGACTTCACCTCTCACACCACTTCACAGGGAGTCTTCAAATGACTTCATGAGAGAAACCGCCTTCATACCCGTCCCTGAAAACACATCCTCACTTTTTCCACCTCAAACCCTGCCTTTGCGCCTTGTGCTGTCAGGGAAAAGGAATCCAAGAGCTGCCGTGTTATATTTGTCTTGGTATAAAGCCACGGTACAAGAATGTGAGACTGCTGTGTGAGAATAAAGAGGCTCAGAAAACCACAGGAAAATAAATGTCAAAAGACTCAATAAAATGTCAGAAAAGCCAATGCAAACAGTCCAGATGTACACACCAGCTGTACCTGGACTGCTGAAGTAAACAAGTACTAATACATGCCACCCCCCACCCCTGTTATTGTCTTATTTAAGGGAAAAAAGACAGTTTGCACTTTTGACAAACATTAGAATCACATGTAACTCAATTCACGATGTAGATTTTTTTAAATGTACTTTTAGTAAAACTAATACTTCATAAGCAGTAATTGTTAAACCAAAGCTAAAAAGACAGCTAGATGTACACTGTAGATAGGTGTATAGCTAGCTAGATGTATTTAGGTAGCACCATAGCCAGTAAGATAGTTAGATGTATGGATAGCTTTATGGCTAGATAGATGGACGAATGGACGGATTGATGGATGGATGGATGGACGAATGGACGGATGGAGGGATGGATGGATAGATAGATCGATGGATGGATGGATGGATGGATAGATAGATGGATGGATGGATGGATGGATGGATAGATGGATAAATAGATAGATAGATAGATAGATAGACAGATAGATAGATAGATAGATAGATAGATAGACAGATAGATAGATAGATAGATAGATAGACAGATAGATAGATAGATAGATAGATAGACAGATAGATAGATAGATAGATAGATAGACAGATAGATAGATAGATAGATAGATAGACAGATAGATAGATAGATAGATAGATAGATAGATGGATGGATGGATGGAT